CCCCTGGACGAGGGACTTGTGGATTCCGAATCCTGGGGGCTTGCTTAAGAGGCTTTTTCCCCACCTGCCAGCCCCCCTCCCGGCGCCTGGGGGTGGCATCGCCCTCGAGAGCAGGGGCACTGCAGCCCCCCCCAGCCCCCGTGCAGCCCCGTTGTCCTCAGCTGGTTTGCACACGCGTGACCGGAAAGCGGCGCCCCGATCTGTGTGTGAATCCCGGGGAGCCCAGCCCGGGCTGGCTCTGCAGGGCTCCTACAGCCGCGCGTCGATCCCCTGGTCGCTGCTACTGCGCTTGACACCGGAGCCTTCTGGGAACCGTGGCCCCCCCTCGCCGCCCCCCCCCGTGCAGCCCCGTTGTCCTCAGCTGGTTTGCACACGCGTGACCGGAAAGCGGCGCCCCGATCTGTGTGTGAATCCCGGGGAGCCCAGCCCGGGCTGGCTCTGCAGGGCTCCTACAGCCGCGCGTCGATCCCCTGGTCGCTGCTACTGCGCTTGACACCGGAGCCTTCTGGGAACCGTGGCCCCCCCTCGCCGCCCCGGAAACATGGCGGCAGCGTTTGACCCCGGCGGATGGGGGGGAAGGGCTGTACCCGGAGGGTATGAAGAGCAGCGTGCCGTAGCCCTGTGTCGTACCTCAGCTGCCAAGCTGCGGGGTTCCTGCTGGAGAACGTGGCGTTCACCCCCCAGATTGGCAAGAGCCCAGGGTCACAGCTAGCGGGCACCCCCAGGCCTCAGGCAGGCCCGTAGACGTGAGCCCGGCACCGTGTGGCTCCCACCATTGTCCCCCAACTTGCGGCAGTACCGGGCTCCTCCGTGGAAGTGCGGCCTGTTGGACAGCGCCAGCTGCGTTCGTGGGGTGGGCAGGTGCCTGACAGGCTGCCCTGCCCCCTTTACCCGTTCTGGGGAGCTGGCACCGATTCCACGAGACCGGGAGCCGAGTTTCTAAGTAGGCCCTGGTAACCGAAAGCAGCAGAGGAGGTGGGGGCCTGTCAGAAGAGGCGTCTCCGTGCCTGGGGACTGGAACGCGACGGTCTCCCGTTTCCTTTCAGGAGAGGAAGGTCTCAGATGAAGAGGAGGAGGAGGAGGAGCAGGACCCCACCAAGGTCAGGCTCCCCTTTGCCTGCTGCAGCCCAAATCCCCCATTTCTACTGCCCCAGACTCCTAGGAAGTTCCCGCCCAGCTAGCAAGCGACCCCCTATGGCACTTTCCAGCGCCCCTCCTCTGAGCACCCAGCCTGCCAGTCACCCAGGAGCCAAAATTCGGGGCATCCGTGTCCCAGCCCCCATGGAGCGCAGCCGGGGACCCCGGGGCCGCCCCGCCTGCACCGCCCGCGGGAACCGTGTAGCTGGTCCCCCACGTGGCCTGGCGCATCTGTGGGCCGGGCGAGGTTTGAAAGGGGGAGGAGAGCTCATGCCTTTCAACCCCCCCCCTTCCCACGTGGGCTGTGCTGTGGGGCAGGCCCCTACCTATGGATACCAAGCAGGCTTGGCTTGGGAGCTCGCACCCAGCCCTTTATTCTCAGGCCCTTTATTTTCAGCTGCTCCTGCTTTCCCCTCGCCCCGTGCAGGGGAGCTGCTAACCCTGCGTCTCCATGCCGCCAGCCTCCTTGGGCGATCTGGCAAAGGCAGCTCCCTCCCCCTTTCCAGGCTGGTGTGGGGAGGGGGCTCCCCTGTTAGCGTCCATCCGGTGCAGCGCTGGGACCCAGGCATCCCGCATCCAGTCTCAGTGGAGCGAGAGGCAGAGCCCCGTTGGCGTGGGAGCCTGCGAAGGGTCAGGGCGGGCCAGCTAGTGCCGCGCTCGGCAGCTGGAGCCCAGCTCTCAGGCCCTTCTCCAGTGGGCCAGGCCCTGGGGGGATTTCTATGGGAAAAGAATCGGGCCCCGAGGACCCCTCCTTGGCCTAACCCCTGTTCTCTCTCCACAGGAGCAGTGAGCCTGGCGTGCGGGTTGCAGAGTCCCACTTAACTGACTCCTGTCCCAGTGTCGGTTGTTCCCCCTTTGGATCTTTTCTGCGGGTTAGGCTGGGTTAATAAAGAGCAGTGTTTGTAAGCCACGCCTGCTTGTGCCCCACCGGTGCCAGGATGGACAGGGCTGCTGGTCCCTCCCCGGGCGCTGCCCTCGGCTTAGAGACCGGGCTGGCTCCCCTCCGCAGCCCCCCAGCTCGGCTCACTCCTGTCCCAGTGTCGGTTGTTCCCCCTTTGGATCTTTTCTGCGGGTTAGGCTGGGTTAATAAAGAGCAGTGTTTGTAAGCCACGCCTGCTTGTGCCCCACCGGTGCCAGGATGGACAGGGCTGCTGGTCCCTCCCCGGGCGCTGCCCTCGGCTTAGAGACCGGGCTGGCTCCCCTCCGCAGCCCCCCAGCTCGGCTCCGCTCGCTCTTCTCCACCTCCCTGCTTCACCGCAGCATGGGCTCTCCCTCTCCCCTGAGGGATTGGAGCCTA